CATCAGAACAAGCTTATTCTATTCAGTCTAAAATTATTTTAGCTCTAAACAAAGATGCCTTATACAAACTTTTCTTAACTTAAATGATTTCTGATATGACCCCTTGAATTTCGTGGGAAGAATAAAAATCTGTTGTTTTGTTCTAATTAGCTCAGACGTATATGATATTTACACTGACAGCTATTCAATATCTGTACTAACAAGCAACTTCCATGCTTCAGATTTATACACTTCCATTCGTCAAAAAGTCTGGTCTTGTATGAAAATGTATTTCACTTCAGTTTCAATTTTATCAAAGTTGGAATGATTAGTCTACACTTTTCAGAAAAGTAGTTACTTAAGCTCAAACACGGATTGAGGAACTTTCATACTTGAGAAATGTTTTAGGAATCGAAATATTACATAAGCTTCTCACTTGTTTACCATAATTCTTAAAATCTTTAAGGAGTCATAAACCACTACTTTCTATAAAATTTCTAAATTCAATACTATGGAGAACTACTGCATACACATATTGAAAATTCCGAACCGTTTTCCCTAGATGATGCCGTTTCTTCGCAAATACAGCATTCAAATAATCACAAACTTGTAGTCTGTATATTAATGTTCTTTCGTTTTGTATATCCTCCTCACTTTATAACACAATAAAGCTATCATTTATGCGTCTATATACATTACTTAGATTTTTAACTTCAATTACCAACTCCAAAGACTGTCGTGACTAAAACTGCGAATAATAATTAAGTCAATGAGATACACAGAAAGATGAATAAGTAATTTGTTTATTGTATTCACAGTCAAAAATATTTCAGCAAAATATTTACAGCGAGTACAATCATCAGTGAGATGAAGGCATCAGAATTCTTGTTGTAAGGTTTCCCTTTGTAGTGCATGACATTTACTAAGAATAGGCAGTTCATATAGAATCATTCCCTTCTTAACATTTATAGGCAGATTTCATATACTTTTTAAATTCTTGTTACAAGTATTTTTGTTTCCATAAGGCGTAATGTAAGTACGAAATTCTCATCGGAACACCATAACATAACTGGCACATTTCGATATATTGTTACACCTTAAAAAAATCTTTACATGGTATTTTCAATGTTTCACTCTTATTCCCACCAATGACCAAACCTATGACATTTGGATTTTGTGTAGGCCAATTCACCATTAGATCATTCATGTTGCGTCTAATTAAGTAAATTTTTAAGATCAGTAATTTATGATTACGAGTTACGATTTCCCATAATAAAGCAAAATGAATTTTCAAATACGATCAGTCCGTGATATAATTCACAAAATTTTATCGTCTTCAGAAACTCTCTACAGCAATATATATATATATATATATATATGGTTATACAACTATCTACCAGTAGCAAAAAGATTCTTATTTTATATCAAAGCTTTGGTAGATGCAACCGAGTTTTCTCGGGTGGATCGATAAAAATTAATTAGAAATATAAGTCGATTACCATTTCTGTTATATTATTCAACACTGAAAATTTCTTTCGGCCTTGCCCATATGTTTAAGAATGCTGTTTAGTAATTTATTTTAGACACAATCTCAAGTATGGAACTTTGTATTGAATATCTTATCATTGTTTACAATAACTGTTAAGTTCATAGGAAAAAATATTTGCTCAAATTGAAAACTGCTCTTTCCATTACTCAAATAAATAAACAATCGAAATCTATGTAAAAGTTTAATAGTGGAAGAAAAGAGACGAAAAATTCTATCAAACTTTCAAGTTTTACTAAGTCGAAAAAAATTAACTGTGTATAATTTCTGAAAATCAGCAACTCTGAACTGGATGACTGATGATCGTTGGTAAATTCTAGGGCAAATCAGTGGAAAATATCGGTTATTTATTTAAAACTGAAATAAATGATTCAGTTTTGACTGAGTTTTGTGTTTATGGTATAGATACCACGCAAAGAAGCTAACGAACTGTTAGTGATAGGACAATTGAAGAACCATTAACAATGATTGTAGTAATGACAGCAATGATAGTGTTACAAATGAAGTCTTTTGTAACGGCATACTGATTGTTTTAATAAACTCGGTTGAACTTACTGAGTAAATGCAATGAGTTAAATTTCAATAACTAACTGATCTGACGTTTTCTGAACCTTAGTAAAAGCATACCAACCTATTAATCATTTTGTTTGCTTGAATACTTGATATGAGAGCTGAATTTTCAAGTTCACTGTAAAGTAAGCATCATTGGTCTATTATATCACAATCGGAAATGGCTAGTTACTCGAAACGAACTAGTTTTAGTCTCTAAGTGGTTTCTCACGAAATCTGTAAATGATGTTAAATGTAGATGAATCTATGATTTATCAAGAATGCTCAAAACATTTTTTAATAATCTGAGAATCTTGTAGCAACCGAAAAACGCAAATTTTTAGTTCTACAAGTAACAACTCAGTCAGAATCAACTGGTGAGCATTTCCAACTTTTGTCAACGTAAAAGCCAGAGTGGCTGCTCCTTCTTGTATGAAATTTTAAAATATTTGTTAATAATGTATATGCGTTTGGAATTATTAAAATTCGAATAATTATGTTCACCATTCTTTTCTTTTGCTAATCGATGTCTTTTTCACAGAGAGATGAAAGAAATTCAATTTAATCTGTGTAAATGTTGATTAGCACAAGTGAATAGTGACTTGCATTTGAATCCAAAATGCGTGTTTTATCCTATTTGGGATTCGTCAGCTGAATCTAAATGCACCTCAGAGTTGATGTTCATTCCTAGACACAAATCAAGTTCCTTACGCTTCAAACCGACTCGCTTGTGCAATGAAGTCAAAATTTATTCCTTTTATTTGAATCGTCCAAATGATGTTAAGGATTACAATTGAACAACTTCTGTTATTGATATTATACCTGCAAACTGAAGGCATTGCCTAAGTTACTGATCAATTACAGTCGCAAACATCTTTGAGGATATTTAAACAAGCAGTATTCATGAATTTATACAAGTGTTTGTTTCGATAATTTACTTTCGTTTTCAATAGATAAAAACCAAAAATGAATTACTCAGAATAATGAGTCAACTATGTCAGTAAACTGCTGAAGCCTAATAAATATACATCATGATATACCTCATATTCTTGATTCAAAAGTGAGGAAGCCAGCATCAAACAAAAAAAGGAGATCTTTCAAGTTTAATCATTGGGATACAGCCTCAAAAATGGCATATGAAAATAATTATTTTGAGAAAACAAATACGTTTCGTTCATTTTCAAATATTGTTGTATTGAAACAATTTTGTTTTCACCATTCAGCCCCGTTACACATCTATCATATATATATTATATTCTGTGTTTTTGTAAATTCTAGCTAATATAATTATGGAAAAAAAAGTTATTGTTGAATAAAAAAGATAATTAATTTTATCATATGATTTTTCTTGTGCAATAGAATATAATACTACACTATTTCAGTGACTATAAATTGAAATTACTTAATTATTCATCATTATTCATTTTGAGTTATGGATAAAATTTCCAAAAAAAAATATATTAAAAAAAAATGAAGTCAGAGGAGGCCTAACAGAACACGAAATGAATTGATATCTATTACACAATATTTGTTGAGTCTAAATCACAAGAGTCCGTTAGAAGTAGCAGTATGGATATAAAGTATAGTTTTCATTTCAATATCTACCCTTCAAATTATCATATCTTGTAACAGCAAAATCTAGTCTACATTGTTTACAATACAATCAGAGATTTGTAATCCATACGAGATTGCCATGATTTTATGCCAGTCTCATAGCTAAATCTAAATCTATCTATACATATGATGCCAACTTATGTAGTTTAACAGTCATTTAGTATAGTTTTAAATTTACTTCGAATAATTTCGTTTATTTAAAGGTGTTCCTCTTGTAAAGCGGCTTTTAAATGTTCATGCTTACATGTATATTACAATCATAAATGATGCACTCTTTATTGATATTTTGGATGCAGCCATAATATTTGTAATATCAGAAATATTTGTATGTTTAGCATGAACAGAAAAACTATGGTTGATAATAATCTTTTTATTAACTTTTATATTACCCTTGTTTTTAAACATCAAGTAAATTTTTAAACAAAAATGTACAACTGACTAAAGTAGACAAGTGAAAGACACTGGAATTTCAGAAAAAGGATGAATTCCATAACGATAACTAGTACACGATAATAGATTCACTGTCGTCATAAAAGCACCTCAACGATCTCTGAAAATAGCCGGTCGGAACGATACGAGATAATTAGTTCCACAGGACACAACAAAACAGATCTTCAAAAAAATTGCTCATGAGAATTACCGGTTATTTTTGTGTATTTAAAATAATTCAAACACGAGAGGGTTTGAGGAAGGATCTACTCATGAGAGCGAGAGGTTTGTTCGTGGTGGAAACGTGTCAGTGAAATGAATTTTTACGGGAATGTTTACTTAAGGCCGGCTACACAGTATCTACAATCATAAATGCTTCATGAATAATACATAGCAATTTGTTTGTTTGAGGAAAACTAAGTCCTCATATATAATAGATGTCGAAGTAATCTAAATAATGTTCACTATCTTATATCTTCCAGGAAAAGTGTTCTAAGGATCGATCTGAATAGAGAGATGAATATTCTGAACTCAATTCTATGTTTAAGAGAGTGGTTTATGAGAATCAGTATTTGCGAAATTAGGATTTATCAAACGTTTGTGCTAGGAAACGTCTGACAGATTATTCTTATGTTTATAACATCTATATATCATCATCAATTTCTATCCACTATATTGTCAACAAACTTGTAGAATTCATCCGCAACTTATAATTCTACTAGTTTAACTACGATTAATCAAAAATATTCAACCTTATTGACTTCAAAGAGAAGGAAAGCGGTCGATATTACTTGTCCAATTTTCAAGTGACATTTTGATATGAATTTACATTTTATATATATTTCTATGTAATCAGTTCTATTCACAATAATATCTTGACAATCAAACTTTATGGAGGAGAAGAATACATAAATTCTGCTTTAACTATAGAATACATTTTCTAAATTGTGATTGTGTAAAATAGTTTAAATGATATCCACGTACATGTTGTGATCACGAAAACCTGTTCAAACGATGTAGAATATGAAAGAAAAATTGAAACTGTGCTTTTAATGCACTTGAGACATATAACTGGACGTTCTGTATAAACATTAAAGAATACAAATTGATAGTAAGTTAATTTAAACTGTATCACTGTGTGTATCACCACTTTCATTTGCCCAACCACTTTCTTGAATTTCTCGATTTGTATTACATGACTGGGGCCATGGTTGCTCAGCAATGTAATTTACAGAACGCAATGAATTCATTGGCTTGTCAAGTTTTGATTCATCATAACCACAATCAAAACTTTTACGGCTGGATATTGAACTACCACTATCATGTGATTTTGTGTAAACTTCCTTGGAACTGTGAATTTCATTCACTGAACAATTTTTTCGTAGTTTTTGATTATTTTTGTTTAATAATTGTTCGAATGTTGACCCGGATAGATTACCTATATTCTGCATAATATCTATTGGTACCGGGAAGAAAATAGTTGACTTTTTCTCAGCTGATATTGCACATAGGGTTTGCAAATAACGCAATTGGAATGCCATTGGTGAAGTAGAAATGACTTTTGCAGCTTCTTTTAACGATCTGGCTGCCTCTTGTTCTCCCTTAGCAGCAATCACCTAAAGGTAAGAAATAAATAAAATTAATACTATCAAATTCTAAAGTAGTAAGGCGACTCATCATTCAAGCAGATAATTTCACCAAACATAACTAACAATGATGAAGGAAAACATCAATGTTGAATTTACTCTTAATTTGGATTTGGTGAACAATGAAAAGCTTATCCTTAATCACTGTCAACACAGTGACGAAATATTCTCCAATATGAAATTTGGTAGCAAGGTTCTTTTCCAAACTTAGTTTACTCTTTTGTACAGCACCTTAACATAATTTACACCTTGCTCAACGCATTGTGAAAAGCACAAAACTGCATTATGATGCAAACCCTAACGTTGAATTATCAAAGACAAAGAAAAGGAGGTAGATCAAAGAACAAATTACTCCGAAAATTCAAAGGCACGTAACAAAGAATGCATAGTAATTAGGAGCAACTGGAAAGGGAAGCCCTGAAAAGAAATAGTTGGAGATTGCTGTTTGGTGACCTATGCTTCATGTGAGACAACAGGCGTAAATAAGCGAATAGGAATGTAAATGTTCCCACCGGTGTTATGCAGATATTTTGACATTTTTTAGCTACATAACGATTTGATTTTAATTAGAACAGTATATAAATTGTGAAAGCTAACTAGTAGAAGTTTAATCTTTACAACTAAGTTTATAGGCCCTAACTTTGGAAATGGATACGGCCAAAGACTGCTTCACTAGGGCAAAATAACTGTCCGTTACTTTTGAGTTTCTAGTGATTGTTTGATAGTCCAGATTGTAATCTAGTAAATGTTTTACGTCTATTTTTAAAACCTTAATGTTTTTTGTTTTGATATGAACCAACATGTGCAGCAGATTTATGAACTGATATGAAAAAGGATATAATCCTTAAATTAAATAAACACACTTGAACAAAGTATTTCAACTATCTGCGAATTACCAAGGTTGACATGAACAAAATTATATCTGCCATTATCAATGAAGTTTAAATGTTAACGACACACAAAATGAGAAGAGGAAGAAACAAAATATTTAGCATATCAGTTACAACTGATTAGTGCTAATATGTTGACAATGAATTTATAAAAAGCGAGAATGGTCTGAAGTAAATGATAATACATAGATTATAGATAAGATATTGTTAACATATGAGTGATAACCAGTCTACCTAAAATAAATTATTGCACATAAACATGTGCTCACGATGTTTCATTCTTACACTTTGCTTACTACAGATGCATATTATTGAGGGATAGTAACTCGTTGTTATTTTAAATAATAAACATTTCAAAACTTCACTGTCGCTTAATTGATTCAGCTAATTTGAAATATAGTCCAATAGTCTCTTATATAATTCGATGAATCATGAGTTATCGAGGCCTGCTTGAATATCTGAGCCGCATGGATTCTAACATCAAAATAATTCAACAAACTACGGCTTTTTATTTGTTTCTACATGTCAATTATGACTATTAAGTTCATAAAATATTTAGGCGAGTATAGAAAATGTTTACGGGCTATCATTTCACAAGGTAAGAAAAAGTGCAATCCAAGACATCTCGGCGGCTAGCAACCTGTTGGGAAAAGAATGAATGTGAATAAAATGTCGATTCCTGAACAGCTTGCTTCCAACTGTTGATCACCTATGGATTTGTCAAGAAAACTGGTTGAAATATTCGGTGCTGAGAATACTATTTTGTATTAAACATTGAATATTGAATAAAGCTATCATTATTATCAAGTATTTTATACGATAATTCACACTTAGCAAAAGAGAGATAGAGTTAGGAAATTTCTCTTATTAATGAGTTCCCTGTTACTGATCGACATTAATATATTCGTTCCTCAAGAATAAGAAAATCAGCAGCTAGTTTCGCTAAGAATATTACGCTTGTTATCATATTATCGTCGAACTACGAGATACGGACATGAGCATCATACGTTATGGAAGAGCCAACTGGTTTTCAGACCAAAAATCTTGAATTTTAACCAAAAAGCAGCTATTTGTATAGTTTAAGGACATTCTTGTATCCTATTTGATGTCAGTTCTTATTAAAAATCTTAATCTCATTCCAAAACTCAAACTTCCATTACTCATTTTTAACCTGTTTTTACACGTAGTAAGTAGTTGAAATTTCTCAGTCACTTTAAAAACTCTCTAAGTTTATTCATAAATAAAGTGATACCAGTTTGTGTTTTTGTTCAGATCCACTTCCGATTTCTTTTTTCACTCTATTGAACACTCATGGAAACTGTGCAATTAAGGGACAGATATAAATATTCAATAAAATTCAGTTTTTCGAAACGAATACAGCTTTTCACCGGATATTTTTCCTAAAATAATATGATTTTTAATGAAACTCAGCTGTCTTTACAATTCCACACTGATAATAATAATAATATTAATACTACTAATAATAATAATAGAAGAAGAAATAAATTCTGGAGGATAGAAAGCTTTTAAAAACTTGACTTCAGATTTACTTAATTGTGTTGATAGTAAATAACTGAATAGATAAATAAATAATAATAGTTTTTAACATTTACATTCTTATTGTATTCAATAGCTCAGAAGTGCCGATCAACTTCTTTGAATTTATTTTTTTCCACTCAACTAAACCAAATCACTATACCGGATAGTATAAGTATTCAAATAAATCAAAGCATTTCACTTCGCGAAAATTTTTTCGAAACAAAATAATCATTTCTACTGTTTGTAAACGTTATATTTATTGATAAACACATACCATTATGAATCACTGCTCGCTTGAATCTTTGCAAAAAAAATACATTAATAAACTCACCCGAACCCGTATAACATAAATAAACGTGTAGCTATAAGTAACAATTTCCTCAAAAAATAAATAAGGGAAATTAAATTACCGTGATACGTAAAACAAATAACTTTTGAAAACACATCAACAACAGAGTATCGATTCGATGAATTTGATTAAAAATAAGCTCAGATTTGAGTAGAGAAGAAGTGTGAAGTTCATCACTTTGCTTGTATTGCAATAAAATCGTTTATTCCAAAGTCTCGATGTTTACATAGATCTAGAGCCTTTTTCTTCATTGACACAAATATATATGCGTTTTATTGCAAATAAATGTTTTATCACGTTTTTGAATTTCAAGCTATTCCATTCTGAAGAAAATAAAGTATTTACATCAATCAAATTGTTGTTTTTGTTTCATATAGCTTTTAGAAAGTCAACCGTATAATTGTTTTTTACACTCAAAATATGTAATCACATGTTTGAAAACTTAAATTTAGTTATTCTAGTAATGACTCAGTCGGATGAGGAAACACTAGGATGATTGAGATAAATAAGTGAGTAGATTAGATATTGTGGCCAATTGACAAAGTGAGTATTCCTACTATTACGCAACACGTCCTAAATGAGAAACTTGCTAAAACGTAGTTGGAATGACTTTCAATCATCTTACTCTAACGACCTACTAAAATTACAAACTGCTATTCCTGTTACCATTTTTCATGATCGTTTCGATGGGAAAAACAACCTCTGCTGTATATAATTAAAATGGTAAACTTTGTCTCGTATATTGTTTATGCTTTAAGTGGATATTTCATCAATTTTCTCAAAGTTATCATAGCTTAATCTGTTCACAATAAACTGAAATGACCGAAATAACTGATCGTTAAATTCAAAATGATGAAGAAAAATTACTAATCAATGAATTATGAGAGGAAACGTTTTTTTTAGAAATCTACATCATAAGTGTATGTATGAAGCCAATTTAAATTATGATCGCCGAAATTAGCTTACTTAAATCACCTAAAATGACGACTCACTCTGAAGTTGATATTAAACACAATTCTTGTCGACTTATTTACATTGTGCTGGAGTTTCGTTCTCTGAGCTGGAAGTTTTGATCATGGAACTTGCATTGTTCTTTAATCAATCAATCAATCAATCAAAACATCCAGCTCAAAGAAAAAAACACCACAAACATCCACCTGAGTGAGCTACAAATTTTCTCCTCTTACTTATATCTGAAATATGTTAAACAAAATGATTTAGAACGAAAATCATTTTTCTCAGCTTCAGATTCAATACAAAATTACTATCAATTCGATTTTGTGTAGAAGAATCGTTTATTCAAAGTAATTGTCTAATTAAATTAAACTTGAAGTCTTTTGCTGCGTTTTGTTTTTGTCACAAACAATCATTCATGAAAAATTTAATGCCTTACCACTGTATGTTGGACAAACAGTGGCTTTCAAATTAGACTATGCTTAGATGAAAATAAATGATTAGCATTGAATATTTATATGCTTCTAATTCACATTGACTAAACCATAATTCATGAGGTTATGGAATTTGATTTGAAATATTAATGCTAATGCTCATCACTCCACTTAAGAAAAATTACTCTTTTTTTGAAGGTTTGTTATAAATATAATTAAAAAGGACTAGGATAATCAGCTGTTCGTACCAAAGATTTCGCTCCAACAAAGATAATAATGAATGCTTTATTCCACTTTTGCAATAAGTTCTTACTCCCAAACGTTAAGTAATAGTCAATCCATAATTTTCTTTCCAAGGGATCGAAGTGTAACGAATGAATTATATTGTATCGCTTTTATGGAAATCATGAATCGATCAATTTTAGACCACCATTATTCCTTCTGTTAAGAACTCCGTTTTATCAATACAACTTAAGATTTACTATGAGCATTCATAAGAGTAATCTTAACAAAATGTTTCTTAAATAAACGTTTATTCCCATCCATATCCATTAAAGTTCAGTCAATAGATTTTGAATTAACCACTAAATGAGAACAATGAACAATGCTAAAATTAGCCAGTTTCTTCATTTAGTTTATTAACCGTAGTGAATGTCAAACGAGAATTCGATTTCCAATTAAAGCAGAAATGACCTAAACACTATACAATTTTATTCTGAATCAAGTGTGTTAACTTTAAATTAAATGATTTCTACAGTGAATTTGAACATACAACTCAGCAAACAGTTGAAAATGGAAATTATTTCAGAATTATTTAAGGTCAATCAGTAACCGTGAAATAGTTTTATTAAGTACTAACAGTCATTATTCCCATAAGTCAGGAACTGATGTTATGCTATTTCTAGTAGTTTCCTATATTTCAGAATTCTAAAATCACTCATAGCCATATAACACCCTGTGATGATTGTAAATAAGATCATCCTCAAACGCTGTCTTCTGTCCTGTTTCCGGTTTCTGATTTTGCCTGAAATTTAATAACTTTATATTGGTAATTATTTAGAAACCAGTCAGGTCAAGGAATCAGAATTAATGCTTAGGTAAAATATTTGAATAGTAAACATATTAAGCATATAATGCAGTTGGAGTGTCCTTTAAAGATTACACTACACATCATGTTTATTCATATTATTGAATATTTTGGCGTAAGATCTGAATAGTCTCAAATCTGCATCATCTTTATGTCAGAAAATATTATATTTCACAACTAAAGCAAGTGACGTTCAATAAATAATAACTTACTTTAGCACGAGCTTCACGAGCAGCCTCAGCTTCAGCTGCCATTGCGCGTTGTAGTTGTACAGGCAGACGGACATCTTTGATTTCGATTCTTTCAACCTGAAAATTGTTTAAGTTATTGATTTGATAGAACTTTATAAAAACTGTCCTACCGAAAGAACAGCATGTGCATGCAAAACTGAGATGTACGTACTAAATAAATGTATCCTGGCATAATTTATACACTTATACACTCATTTGTCAGGAAAATACCCAAATGTATAATTACTATTCGATTTGAAAATATTCTAGTCGTTAGGTTATTCATGATTATTTGACTTTAAATTCTTCATAAGAATCATATATAGGCAGTTGGTTTATTAAATATCCCTTAATGTTCAAAATTAAGTTTTTTGGTTTGAACTGTTTGATGTAGATACCATATAAAAGCAATTCATTCAAAGAAATCTAAGGTGATGATAAACTCATATGTCCAGTTAGTTGTATCATCTGGAAATTATTGTTACAATGGTTTCCCAAAGATCAAAAATAATAAATCCATTGTAACCGGATATTTTCATTGAGTAACATGAGTATGAAAATGTGAATTTGAATGAGAAGTTGATCAACACGGTAATTTTAAGAAACTTCTTTCTATTTTATTGTTTTCTATACACTTGTATTGTGTTCAAAATGTATGTGTCGAGATGGAAATAAAGCCTAAGTGAATATCTTTATGATGTCTACTTGTGTAAATAAAAACGTGTAAACTACATTGTGGGTATTGTTGTGACAAACTGGAAATTATTCATAGTTTGTTAATAAAGTAATTGTTGTGCAGAAAATAAGTTAATAAAATTTAGCGAAGTACAAGTTATATCGATATACTTAGTAATCCTAACATTTTGTGTTAACAAACTATTACTTTCTCATGTGTAACAATCAATCATACTGTATTTTTCCAGTTAAGTTATCGAACATTCCTATATTTATGGTAAAAGTCATCAACAGCATCCAAATACCTATTGATGTATGCAAACAAAAATTTTTGAATAAATCAACGCATCATCTATGCAAACCAAGTGACGAAATGTTCAGATCAATCATGGAATGTGTACTATGTACGGCTTTGAGTTATTTGCAGACAATCGGAGTGAATACTTTCTTTAAAATGTTCAGTCGTTCAGATCAACTGATCAGGGTGTTCAAGAAAACGAACAATTCACACTAATTCGACTTTACGTTTATACAAATGAATATGGGGATATTTTTATCTATAAGATGATAGATACATCAGTGAAATTCGATTTGGAAATCTTCAAATGTCATTAGACTGGGGTAGTTACTTGAATAAATTGTTTTTAAAATATGGTAAATTTACATTTCAAACTACCTAGAGTGTGAGTATTAAGCAAACATGTTTTTAGATTTAAGTGGCATAATAAGTGAACTAGTTTCAATCTAGTGTTCTTCGTAGTGTTAGGCAGTATTTACCATTTGTTACTTCAGTTTATCAAGACAAGTTAAACACAAGTTGATATCATGAATACGACTGGTGAATTTGCATTGTGTATTCATCTCAATCATCAGCAATTTTCTGTCTGGTCTACTGCTTCTGAAAATAACTGTGTTGAAAAAGAACGATTTTGCATTTTACTCAATAATAATAAAAGTTCAGGGAATGTTGCAATCAAGATTTCAAAACATTTTTTATTATTGAGTCCATCGTTTATTTAATGAATAACATGAAACAGAAAAAGCTCGGAGTCAAACGGCTTCAGTGTTTTTCATTTTGTAGCTAGAGAATTCTCGTTTTAAACAAAAATATACTATTCGAAAAGAAATTTTTGCAGTCAATTAAATTTAATATATGATAACTACTGATTAGAGAACGTTTTCAGATATAAATCACGATGGAGACCTTGTTGTTCCCAATATCAATTATTGCTATGATTGACAATAATACTAGTTAAGCACAATTTAATAAGCAAAATTTCATTTTATTTATCAGATAAACAAAAAAAAACACAATATTCTACTGGATGTTTTTTGTATTAGTGTAAATCTTTATTCAGTATTTTACGCTTTGTATTGATTCCCATTTACTCCGCCCGCAGCTCCTCTGGGGCTACTGCCCGTCCGAAGTCCGGATAAAGGATGAGGGTTAGGCTTGGGGTTGGCGACCACATCCTATGAAAAACTAACTGGCTAAAAACCACTGACCAGAATACATAATCCAAAGCATTTTAACTCTGCCCTGTGAGTTTGAAGGTTTTCATTCAGAACAGTTATGATGTCTCATAATGAAAGCCGACTTTCATGGCAAGTCACAAGTGCGATACCCCTTCTCACAACCAGAGCAACCATTCTTTAAAGTAGAGAGAACGTTCAAATAATGTGGGAGGCCCGGTGAGTCATCTAAGTTGCTGCAGAAATGAAAAGATACGACCTAGGTATGCTTGGAATCAGTGAAAAACACTGGACGCAGGTTGAACAACTAAGACTAGCTTCAGGAGAGCTGTTATGCTCCGGCCATAAAGAAGAAGAAGTCTTAAAAAACACAAGGAGTTGTCCTAACAAGCACAAAAGGCACTAATAGGAAGGGAATCGCATAGACCCAGGATCATCGAAACATCCTTCAAAACAAAGATGACATTACGATGAACATTCTCTAGTGCCATGAATCCACCAACGACTACAATGAAGACGTCAAAGATCAATTCTACGAGAGGCTGCAGTCAATCATCAAGAGGTGCTCATCAAAGTATTTGACCATTCTGATGGGAGACCTAAATGCCAAGGTTGGCATGAAAATGGTGAGAGATTTGCAAACCTTTGTGCCTTAAGCAGCACAATATTCCCACCAAAACGCATACACAAAGTTAGATGGATTTCACCGTTTCACACCATTCAGAACCAAGTCGACTTTACCTCTGTCAGTTAAAGGTTTAGAAGGATGATGGACAAAGTGAGAACGAAGAGAGGAGCTGATATAGTCTCAAATCACCACTTGCTGTTCGCCAAACTGAAACTGAAACTCGTGAAGCACTGGATAACGGAGCGAAAAACATCACGAAATATCAATATGGCCTTTCTTCAGGAAACCGTAAAACTCAACAAATTCACGATAGCCCTCACCAATAGGTTCCAGGCCTTGCACGACCTACTCAATGATGATGAAACAAACATGGAGAACAATTGGAAAGGGATCAAAGAGGCAATCACTTCGAAATATCACGAGATTCTGGGCCACAGGAATTACCATCACAAGGAATGGATCTCTGTTGGTACGCTTGAAAAATTGAAGAAAGGGCAGCAATCAACATCAGCCAAACAAGAACAGAGAAAGTTAAGACACAAGCTGCACACGCAGAAGCGAACAGGAAAGTGAAGAAGAGCACCAGAGCTGACAAACTTAAATATGTGGAAGATCTAGCAATGATGGCGGAAAAGGCTGCAATAGAAGGAAACCTTAGAAAATTGTACGACATAACAACGAAGTTTGCTGGAAAATATCATAATCCAGAACGACCAGTAAAAAGCAAGGAAAGCAAAGGTAGTCAACATCATACGGAATTCTAATGATGGATTAAACTGAAAAAATCATTCACGGTGGACAGCTGAAAGAATAGTTCGGGGTGAAGACCGATGTCAAGCAAGGTTGCCTACTCTCACCTTTTCTCTTTCTCCTGGTCATCGACTGGGTTATGAAGACGTCAGCATCTGGAGGGAAGCATGGTATACAGTGGACATCCAGAATGCAGCTGGAAGATCTGGAATTCGCAGATAATCTGGCTCTTTTATCGCACAAGCAACAACAAATGCAAGATAAGACAACCAATGTGGCAGCTGCAAGTCTCAACTGCAATGTCCATCGATACATTACAACATGCACCAACCAAATCACGTTTGGTGGGGATGCCTTGGAGGACGTTAAAACCTTTACATATCTAGATAGCATCATTGACGAGCAAGATGGATCCGATGGTGATGATGAGGCGTGGATCGGCAAAGCAAGGGCTGAATTTCTACAGTCGAACAACATCTGGAACTCCAAACAAATACTAACCAACACCAAAATTGGAATTTTCAATACATAGGTGAAGGCAGTTCTAATGTATGAGGCGGAAACTTGGAGAAATACGAAAGCCATCATCCAGAATATACAAGCATTTATGAACAGCTGTCTACGCAACATACTTCGGATTCGTTAGCTAGATACCATCAGCAACAACGTACTGTGGGAGAGAACAGTCCAGATTCCAGTGGAGGAGGAAATCAGGAAGAAGCGGTGGAAGTGGATAGGATACACACTACGAAAAGCACCTAACTGCGTCACGAGACAAGCCCTGACATGGAACCCTTAAGGCAAAAGTAAAAGAGGAAGGCCAAGGAATACATTACTCCTAGATTTAGAGAAAGACATGGGAAAAATGAACAAAAATAGGACAGAACTAGAAAGGGAAACCCAGGTCAGAGTCGGCTGGTGAGTACTGGTCAGCGATCTATGCTCCATTGGGGGTAACGCGCGTAAGTAAGTAAGTAAGTAATCGATTCCTATTTTTCAATGCTTTCTTCATTCAAAAAATCAATAACTGTTCATAAATTAATATAATCAGATCAAAATCTCATTATATGTACCATGATTAAAGTTTTATTTGTCGAACTGAAATTATAAATTAAGGTCATATAACATGGTGATGGTGACCTACAGAAAGTAACTTTTTTAATGAATTTTACTAGTTTTACAAAACATAGTTATTTGCTACATCAGTGGTTTTCGAATAAACAGAAACTAAAGTTTATTAAGTAAATGAAATATAATACTGTTAGCCTATATATCATCTAAAAAATGTATAGTTAATATCTATTTAAATGAAAGATTTTCTTATATTTTAACCAAAATTATAATGAATCAAAAAAAGGATCTGTTTAACTTTGGGAGTGAAAATGAGATTAATATTAAATAGTGCTGATTCAAAATTCAATTTCAAGAACATGGAAATATTTTAAATGCAATCATAAGACTGGAGAAATCTAAACAATTTCAAAATAAAGATGCTGACAATGCCAGGGTATTCGTCCATAAAAAAAAACTGAAAACTATAAATTCAAAACCG